AAAATCCAGGCCATCTGGCTACCCTGAGAGTAAGAGGGAAGGGATGCAGGGAGAGGGAGGCACCAGAGTGGGAAGAGATGCTGAGGGCTAGGACCCCCCTCCCTACTCTGTTCCCATAACCTCATTCATTCCCTCAACCCTCCTTCCCAATCCCTCTCAGGCTGCTTTGCTCCTTCAGTTCTGACCCCATTTCCTCAGGATCTTGTTCCCGGAGGAGCCAGTCCTGACATTTCAGACAGAGGCTGAGTAAAGGAGGTAGGTCGGAAAGAGACACAGTGTATCTGCGTCATCTTATTTTCTGTTTTATTATTTTGGAACTTGGAGGGGGGAGCAAAGACGTAAGCACTTAGAATTTACTAGGAAGTTCAAAGACTGTCTTCCAGGTACCAAGGAATACCAAGACTTCTCTAGTCTGCTGAATAATTGCTACTGGGTATCATATTTTGAAGGGTAAAAATAGTGATTTGAAACTCCCATTCTTGTTGGTTATTGTGGCATAAATGGAGGCACAGGGTGGAATTCAAGGTGCCCTGGATGTAGGCCCAGCGAGGTCCTTCAGGAGTGGAAAGTTCCTCTCGATTCAGTAGCCAGCAGGGTAAGGCTTCCCTGCTGATCCTCTGATCTGCCAAAAGTCCCCACAGCCTTTTGCCTTTGGTAGTATCTTAGACTCTTGCAACTTTTAAGACTTGAAACCTCATAGGGACTGCTTGGGGAATGGCTATATCTCTGACTTACACCTGTAGGAAAAATAATGCCAATTCCTTGAGTCCTCATTTATTTCTGACATTTAGCTGTGGACATCCCAAGAGCATGCTGCAGTCATGGGCCTAAGCATTTGCTGTTGGAAACCCATAAAGCAAATAAGTCTCCTACAGATTAAAAAAAATTACTGATGCACTTAGTATCTTTAATCCTCTACTTTTTGTTGTTGTTGTTGTTAGACAGAGTCTTGCTCTGTTGCCCAGGCTGGAGCACAGTAGTGCGATTGGCTCACTGCAGCCTCCGCCTCCTGGGTTCAAGCAATTCTCTGCCTCAGCCTCCCTAGTAGCTGGGATTAAAGGTGCCTGCCACCATGCCCGGCTGATTTTTTGTATTTTTAGTAGAGACGGGGTTTCACCATCTTGGCCAGGCTGGTCTTGAACTCCTTACATGGTGACCCACCCGCCTCAGCCTCCCAAAGCGCTGGGATTACAGGCGTGAGCCACAACGCCCGGCCAATCCTCTACTTTTGATGTTTTTAAGTGTGATCCTCTGACCCAAAGTCTCTGAAAGCAGGAACCAGGTCATGTATCCCAAATGAACTAGCATCTAGCCCAGGGCCACTTCTGCATACAGGCTTCACGGCCTGCTGGCTTGTGAACTTCAGCACAGGGACAATGTCTCTGAACATTATTGTCATTCAGAGCTTAGTGCCTAGCTCAGTGTCTGGTACATAATGGTCATTTCAATAAACTTGTGATGAGCTAATTAATTAATGGCAATGATGTTGATAAGGATGACAGTAAGGGCAGTAGCAAAGTTTTGTTGCAAGTTAGATGCTTTGTAATGAATGCAAGGCATCTCCCCTTAGCAGCACACAGCCTCCCCAAAGCCAAGGCTTCTTTCATTGGAGGAAGCAGACAGGGGTTCATCTTCAGAGGTAGTCCTTATCCTCCCATCATGCCCATGCCAGGAGAAGCTATTAGTGATAGAGAAGAGAATAAGAGACAGCTGGTTGAGCATGATACCTAGTAAGGAGAGGACCAAATTCTTCTATGCATGCCTCCCTTGTCACTCCTCCAGCTAAGATCAACTTTAGTGTCTTGCCAGCAACTTATCAAGAAAGACCATGACTTTCTGGACTCAGAAGATCCATTTCTTCAGCTTTACCACCTCCACTGGCTCTTTTTCTACTGTCCAGGTTCTTAATTTCTGGTACCTTGGCTTTGGAATAAAGTTTAAACACAGTATCCATGGAACCATGCATATTACTCCTCTCTCTGAGGGAAGAAAGCATCTGTACAATAATGTGTCACCTTATTTTTAGAACAAGTCTGTGAGGTTGATGGAGCAGGGGTGATTCTGGCACAGAGAGAGGAAGCCACTTACCCAAAGTGTTTCAAGATCCTCATCCTAGGGCTTTACTTCTAAACACACATTGTCTGGCTCAGCTAATAAATACCACTCATCATCTCCTAAGACTGAGAATTTACATGTTAAGGGGTCCTAACATAGTATAAGTTGTCAGACAAGAAAAGCTTTCAAAAGACCAACTAGTCTACCTTTTGCCTCTCAGGCAGGACCAATGGTCTAGAAGTTGAGTGTTGGTTGGGAAAGCATTGAATCTGGAGTCAAAAGACCAAGGATGTAAGTCCTAGGTCTGCCATTTACTAAGATGATCTTGGGCAAGTCACCTAGCCTCTGTAGAACTTAACCTCCCGAAGAATGAGGACAATAATATCTGCATTTTCTGCCTTACATGCCTATTGTGATAATTAAATGAGATAATGTATGTGAAAGCTATAAAACACTAGACAGATGTTAATTGTAGCATCTTAATCAGATTTGCATCTTTGGAGACTCTTTATGTAAGATATAAACAGTAATCCTGTGTTCTTTTTTTTTTTTTTTTGAGACGGAGTCTCGCTCTGTCGCCCAGGCCGGAGTGCAGTGGCCAGATCTCAGCTCACTGCAAGTTCCGCCTCCCGGGTTCGTGCCATTCTCCTGCCTCAGCCTCCCGAGTAGCTGGGACTACAGGCGCCTGCCACCTCGCCCGGCTAGTTTTTTTTTGTATTTTTTAGTAGAGATGGGGTTTCACCGTGTTAACCAGGATGATCTCGATCTCCTGACCTCGTGATCCACCCATCTCGGCCTCCCAAAGTGCTGGGATTACAGGCTTGAGCCACCGCGCCCGGCCAATCCTGTGTTCTTAAGAAAATTTTACACTCATAGAGATCAGGAACTCAGCTCTGGAATCAGGCTACCTGGGTAACCTTGGGCATGTTACTGTACTTCTCCCTGAAGTTTCAGTGAAGAGGAAATAATACCTATTTCACAAGTGTGATCTTGAGCATTAAATAAGATAAGGTATGCATGGTACTTAACATGTACCTAGCATGGAGAGAGGAATTCAATGAATATTCGTTGCTAGCATTACTGATTTTATTAATGAAGATGTGAGGCAGGGTGGTTCCATATGATTGATGTGTTAGAGATTTGAGCTAGAAATCAAAAGGACTCACTTCTTTGGACTTCTGTTTCACTACTTGCACCATGGTAAGAATCCACGTTTTTCCTTTTCCAGATTGTCATGAGGATTTTTAAAAAGTATATGAAGACTTTGAACTACTTGAAATTGAGGAACAATATAAATGCAAGATATCTTTTTTCAACTGAGTTAATTAAGCTTATAAAGACTGAGTTTTTAATCAGTTCATCAATTTTTGTTTATTACTGTCTTTGATTAGGTTGTCCTCTTCATGGAAAAGTAGTACAGCAATTCTTCAATCAATAAAACAGTTCAAATGTCAGATCTTGAGGTAAATCCTTCAAAACTGCAAAAGTACACTCTTTGCAAAGAAAACCTTTCTTCAGGATGTTCCATTGCCTTAATTCATTCAGTGTATGTAGGCTACTTTTAATATTCAACCCACTCTTGAATTTCCACTTTGGGTATTATCTACTTTCAATATTTAATCCCAGAATGACCTCGCCTTGCCTCACAGCAGGCTCCCAGATTACCTCTTTTTCTCTGATTAGTTAGTATGGCTTCAGGGAATATCTTCTTTTTAACATTAAACTGGGCAAAAACAGAAATAGAAAGAAAAATCTGTAGCAAGATCAAAAATAGAATTCACAGCTAAATATAAATCTGGAGGGAATTATTCAATTATTTGGATGGTCCCTAATCACAGACAATCCAGGGTTGATTGACTTTTGCTTTTTCCATATGTAGAACAAAATGATTAACAAATACCAAGAGTAATTTTTTTTTTCTTTTGAAGCATAATGCTTTTTAATAGTATCTTAAATGTTATTTTCTTTCCCAAATCCCTTTATATATATTGCAGCATGTGCTTTTCACAACTGCGTGCATTCTCTTTGGGGACCTTCCACTCTCATTTTGACTTGTAGGTCAGAGAGCATTGATCTGGGAAGACCAGGATTTGTTAACGGAGTCACGGTGCAAACTTGGGCGAGTTTTTTAGTCGCTTTGTTCCTTTCACTCTGCTGAGCTAGCCTTGGAGTGGACGACTCTGAAGGGAAATTCCCTGCTTCTTTTCAGAGTCTCAATTTAATTTACAGGCTAGCAATTGTTTTTTTAAGGTTGGATCAACACCAAGTAGGGACTTGGAAATGTGGAGAAAGACAGATGTGAGTGTCACATGAGGCAAGGTCGCCATTAAATGCACAAATATAATGCAAATCACATGCAAATAATATGCAAACCTTGCATTAATTTGTAGGCTCTTAGTTTGGAGGTTGTAAGTAGCACTGAGATCCTATAAGGATTTAAAACTAATGTTTTTTAGGTTAAATTAAATGTAATACTTTTTGAAGGTATCGCTTTCTGGGTGATTCAGGGACTCAACTGTTTAAAGTTTGACACTGCTCCCTACTCCCGCCCCCAAAAATTATTTCACTAGTGTTTGATTCCAACCTACACCCAGCGCCGCCCCCCCCCACTCTCCAGCTCAGCCTGACGTCACGTGACATTGTATTTGCATACTACCTGGGACTGGGTGTGACGCTCCCCTATTCCGCGTCTTCTCATTGGTGGCGTTGGAGAACCAGCCCTCTTCTGTACAGGCCAATCAGCAGCTCCTGGGATGTTGGAAAGCCGAAGGGGGCGGTGTGAGGGTGGGGTCTTGGCTTGGATCGCTAGGCACATCGACCAATCGTCCTCGGAAAGGGAAGGCTAAGCCGTGGATTGGCTGGGGTGGAAGGTCTGGGTTTTCGCAGTCCAATGACAGCTCTAGGATGAGGGGGCCGGTCCCCGCCCCGTAGAGCAGATAAGCAGCGGCAGCGGGGGTTGGGGGGCTGTGTGGGGCTCGCTGTGGGGCTGAGGCAGGCAGCCGGGCGGGCCATGGCAGGGGCCGCAGCGGGCGGCAGAGGCGGAGGTGCCTGGGGGCCGGGGCGCGGAGGGTCGGGGGGGCTCCGACGGGGCTGCTCTCCCCCAGCCCCCGCCGGCTCCCCCCGGGCTGGACTGCAGCCGCTCAGGGCCACGATCCCCTTCCAGCTGCAGCAGCCGCACCAGCGCCGGGACGGGGGTGGCCGTGCAGGTGAGCCGGGCCTGGAGCGGGTGCCGTGGGAGGAGCCGTTGGGGGAGGGGGGGCGCGTGACCGGGGGAAGGGGACGGGGAGAGGTGTGAGGGGAAAGTGGATGGGGGCGAGGGAAGAGAAAGGGGGCGTTCAGAGTCTATGAGGGCGGAGGGAGCGAGAGCGAGGAGCCTTGAAACGTGGGGAGCACCGCTGGGACGGAGTGTGCGGGGAGTCGGGTCCCGGAGGTGAGGGGAGGGACCTGGCAGATGGAGGCTGGCTTTGGGGGCGTAACCGAAAAGTGGGCAGAGGTGTCGTGTGGGGTGAGTGGAAGATGCAGGGGGTGGGAGCGAGGCGTGAGGAGGAGTGGCGGGCGGTGGGGGCGCCCCGTGCGGAGGGCTGGCGCTGGGAGCAGGAGTCGGTGGGCGCTGGACGCCTGCACGGGGAGGGGGAGGGGCATGGAGCAGAGCCCCGTGCAGCCATGTGTTACTTCTCCAGCTTGAGTTTGGCCCCAGCATCCCTCTCTACTGCGCTGGAGTTCCATTCTCCACCACTTCACGTGCGCTTCCCTTTATGCCACCTCCTGGAGCTGATTTCTTCTCAGCCCTTTGGAATAAGTTAGTTTAACGGCTTTTACCGTGGTGCAAATGCCACGCTCCCTACATTCTTCTCCCTGTGTCCCAGAAGTTGTATGTTCCCAGATTGTTGACCTGCTTAATATGGCTGTCTCATTCCAACCATCGTTTGTGTGCGAGCGTGTGTGTGTGTGTGTGTGTGTGTGTGTGTGTGTGTGTGTGTGTCTAGCGGGGAGAGACCTGGGCAGTTTTGCCCCCTGCCTTTCTACTCCCTTCATCCCCCTACCCACCAAGGCTGTTTTGTCCTGGGCATTGCAGCCAACGTGGCAGTGGGGTGAGGGCTACAGTCAAGTGCACGGTGGCAAGTACCCCACTTTCTGAACAGCACTGAAATGGGTTCTTAATAACAGCTTGATGTGGTGGCTGTGGGGAAACTAGGGAGAAGCAAACTTAACCTTGCTTTCATACTCCAATCTGTGACGGATCCCACAAATGCAAGTACTTAGGAATGGGAAAAGGAACCTACTTGCATGAGGAGGTTGGCAATAAGTTGAAAGTGAGGCTTGTATTTGATTCACACCAGATGTGAAAAGATCATTGCACACTTCCAAAGCCGGAGCCTCTACCAAATGTACAAAAGTCATGATCCCTGCCATCTAAACGGTTAATGACACTCTCTAAACCAGAGTCTCTTGAGCTTCTGATGATTACTAAGCCTAGTTACTGCACATCTTCCTGCTTCTGCGGGGCTATTACAGAGTAGTAGCTACTACAGGGCTACTCCTTGCTAGGTAGGAATGGGATTAAGAGGATCTCAGGTAGAAAGCCCCCAAGTCTTTCTGGACTTTTCACTGTATATGTTAGCATCACATCTTGGGATGCAGAAACTTGGTCAAATCCGGTAGCAAGATGGTGACCAAGTAGTAAAAGTATGTTTAGAATCTGGTGGTGCAGAGTAAGGCAATGCCCAGACTAACTCATGCCTATCATGAGTTATAAAGCAAACCACACGACTACAAACCTGTTGGTTTTGTTTGGGCTTCCTTGAAACCCCGGGAAGTTGGTAGAACAAGAACCAGAACCTTAGTCACTTTTAGTGGAAAATAACAGAAAGCCTACCTGTATAGCAGCTGGAAACTGATTAGCAATCATATTTTAAGATCAGTTATTTTGTGTCTACTATAGAACTAATATTAAAAGGACAATTGCTGGTGGATGCTGTGGAAGGGAGAAGAATGTAGGTTTGGATGTCTGGGTTCATTACATGGTCTGCTCCTTTTATAGAGCCAGAGGCCCTGGGATACTGGTAGAAATGTAGGAAGCTAGAGCTCTGCATAACTTGTCAGGTGATTTAGGGTAAGTTGGGTGGACTCTTGCTTATAGATTGGGCTGATCAATAATGTATCCACTTATTAATATCCCAGAAGCTTTAATAAGGCATTTGCCTAGTTGGTAGTGGGGGGGATTATTTGTAGATTTTCGGTATGGCAGGAGAGGGGAAAAAATAGGAGGAGGAGAGAGTAGCCAGAGCATGTGGCCTTCTTTGTGGCCAGGCATTAGGGGAATGTACCTGGCCTCTGTTTTGGAGGCACATCAGGGCTTTTACATGTTAACTTAAGCCCACGTATGTGTTCACATTATTTCTATTCCTTGGCCTTGGAAAGCACCAGAGGTGGTTTTCTCTAGGACAGTAGAGTATATGGGATAAAAGGAAACCCCTTGTAGTCATAAACCTTTAAGAGAATGGCACTGGGAGCTGGAATGCCTGGGTTTTAAATCCAGGTTCTGCCATTTACTAGTTGTGTGACTTTGAGGAAGTTCTTTCTGTGTCTTAGTTTCCTCATCTGTGGATAACAATATCTATATCATAAGAATTAAATGAGTTAATAGATAGAAAGTGCTTAAAACGTGCCTGGCACATGAGAAATTTATAAAAGTGTTTACTGCTGCTTATATTATTATTCCCTCTGCTCGCCAACGTGAGAGCACTGTTGGCCAGAGCCCATTGCCTTTTCAGGCTTCAAAGAGCAAACCCAGATTGATCTGAAACCAGTACTACAGGTTTCAGAATTTCAGGGCCTCCTCTTGCATTTTTATTCTCTCATCTTTTAAAATGAGCTTTCTAAATAGAGCTCTGAAACCCAGCTGTTTCAGAGCTGGGTTTGGGCTTCAGGAACAATTAAGTGTCGTCCCTGTTTCTCTTGCCCATCTCAAAGTGATGTAACGCTCAGGGCTGTGCAGTTATCTCCCCACCACACATCCTGCTGTGTTCTTGACAAGACATATTAGACCTTGTGAAAAGGGTTATGGTGTAAAAAGCAGGATTTGCCTTCTGCAGCCATTCATCCATAAGGTTTGTCTTTGTGAAATGAGGAATGGCTTCATTTTTATGAGCCTGGGCTAGGAGTGAGGAAGGCTGAAGAGAGTGGAGAGAAAAATGAAAGTCAGCTCTAGAAAAGCTAAGAGCCACTAGTGGGTAATAGAAACCTAAGATAAATTTCTTACTGCAATTCTCCCTTAAATTAAATTCTCTTTTGTGTCTTATGTCACTTAGAGGCTGCTAACTTTTATGCTCTTCCAGGACCATGATGAAGGACAAAATAGGACTAGGAGGTGAATTGTTCTGGGTTCTAGTCCTGCCTATCTTGTTTAGTATGTCTGTATGTTCCTAGGATGAAGATAGTGTTAATCTAGCTTTGCAAATTATTTCTTCAGTGGACCAGCCCCACTGGGACCAGCTGGGTGCCAGGGAAGCTAAATGCTGCCTTGGAACCTCCTCTGACCACCAGAACCTTCTTTAACCAGGGATTGGCAGTTATGATCTACAGGCCATATCTGGCCCTGGACCTGTTTTTGTAAATAAAGTTTTATTGGAACCAGCCACACTGCTTCATTTAAATATTGTCTAGGGCTGCTTTTGTGCTGTCGGTGAAGAGTTGTGATAAAGACTGTAGGGCCCACAAAGCCTAAAATATTTACTATATGTCACTTTACAGAAAAGTTTGCCAACTCTTGTCTCAAACAGTATACCTGTTTTTCCTATATAAAGATCAGTTTCAAACTTGTGTAATATAAACCTCAGAAAATTCTAAGGCGGTAAAGAAAATGAACAAGCCTGTAGTCCCACTCATATTTTAAGGCAAAAGAAAAGAGGGTCACCTGCTTCCAGTCAGTTCTCAATCTTTGTAGAACATGGTCATGTGTGAATCCAGCTTCTCCACCCCCATCATTGTCAGGTGATATGTTGGGTGGACATAAGCTAATTTGAATTGACATAAAACCTTAACTGTTAGGCAAATTTGCCCCAACCTGACAGCCCACAACTGCAGTGAACACATTTCACAATCAGATGGAAATTACTTTAGGCTTATCTCCTGTTTTGAATTTTTTTCATTACCTTTTATTTTTCTGAACAGATTAAGGAGAGCTGGCAGTAGTCATGGTTGCCCTAAAATATTGGCTTCCCCACGGGGACATAAGAAGGGTAGTTTATATCAAATGTCGATTAGGTTCCCCAGGATGGCTGTTTCGTGAATACAAGGCTGCAGTGCTTATATTATTAAATTGTTAAACGCCTTTCTTTGCAATGCTTTGAAAACTTATTTCTTGGGGGATGGGTGTTTAGATAGGTCTGGAACCATAAAAAGGAGGTTGCATATTAGAGTCCCTAAGAGAAAGCCCACAGCAAACTAGTCCACATGGCTACTGGTGCCAGAAACAGGCTGGAGATTAGAAGAGAGTTCCAACCTTCCATGCCAAGGCATCATCTTGCTATAATGAGGCCTGGGGGTGCAGTTAAAACCCTTTAAGAGCTACAATTGCCCTTCTAAAACCTGTGATTGAGGCAGCTTCTGTTTGGGAAGCATTAAAACACCAGACACTTCCTAGCCCAACACTGCTAACTGTTGCTTTTGACAGCTTTGCCAGCACCAGGCACATACATGGTCAGCAAAATGCACTGCTGAAGCATCTGACTCTTAAATGTTATCACCAGTGATGACATCCTTGAAACTGGGGGCTAGCTGCTTAACTGCTTTATCTCTTTGGTACCCAAAGGAGTGTGAGTCCATGTGTTCTTCAGTATTTTGGATAGCAAAGGATTATATAGTACGAGAAGGTCTCACTTATATAACATGGAACTAAGAGATCTTAAACCAGTGTCAGAGGGGTGAGAACAACAGTGGGCTGTGATGGCAAGAGGACATTGTTCTCTCACGTTCTAGACATATAGATCTTTAGAAAGTTGGAGGCAGTAATGCAAACCTTTCATAGTGATGGTGCTAATTTAGGTGTTACCACAATGGTTGGTGGGCTTCAATAGCCAAGAGAACACTATGCCTGTATTTTCTGCTGAATTCAGTTTAGTTTGAATGGTGTGATGGGCATCAGGGCCACACTATTCCTTGATCTTGGAAGAACTGTTAGAGCATCTTCCTCCAGATTCTTAAA